AGTTTGGGTGTGGGGTTCATGAATGGGTTACTACATATGCTAGCTTTTAATTAAACTCCAAAACTCAATTTATAATCTCAATTTTAGAAATCTGGATTATTTAGTAAATTAAGTAATTGGGTGTAGGGTTAGTTTGCTAGATATAATGGCAGTCCCTGGTCGTTTATGAGAAGTTGGTTACCCTTACCCCCGGCGTACTGTTCCATATCTCGACACCATTGGTGTAGCGAATCAAACGATGGTTGGGAACTGATATCGTAGACCAACATCAGACAGTGGGCCGACCGATAATAGCTCTGTGTAATACTACGGAAACGCTCCTGACCAGCCGTATCCCATATCTGGAGTTTTACTTTTACGCCTATGGTAAAAACAAAACAACAAATAAATAAACCATGTTTAGATTTTATAGTTAGTATTTTATGGTATAAACTTTATATATTATGATAACATTTATATAATTAAAAGTACTAAATGTCGTTACGTTTTGTATTTATATGATGTTTAGGGTTAGAAATAAAAGCATTAGATTATAATAAATGCAATAATAATAATAAAATTGTTTTTTGTTGTTACTTTTGGGAGGGTGTATGTATAAGATTCTCTCTCTCTCTCTCTCTCTCTCTCTCTCTCTCGTGGGCTAACCGTCGTGAAAATGCTGGTGCCGTCCGATCAAAGGGATAGGCGTTTATTATGAATGCATTAAAACTAATTATAAACATTTTATAACACATTTATATTGCATTACATATTGTTTTTAGACACGAATTCACTGAAAACACACAATGAATGCGAAGAGAAATAAAAATATTAAATAATAGATTATGTGTAAACACTATTACATCAGAGAGAGAGAGAGAGAGAATATACTAAACTAAGCCCAATTCATTTGATACGGTCCGCACACATAGCCACCCGAGCCATCATTTTGACAGCCAATTCCTGGATTGCATTTACTGCTCGCCTGTTATAAATATAGAGTAATTCAGATCTTAATTAATAGTTTTTGCCACAAAATTATAGGGAATTTGTTGAGTATCTCAATGTCAAGCATATGTAGACATACGTGACAAATACAGTCTAAACACTCGCGCTGTAGTCCCAGAGCTTCAAACGCTCTTTCGTTGGATCTGTTGTCGGCAGCGATCGGTGGAGAGACGGGTCCTGTCGTGGCTTCGAATCGATTGGGAGAGTCATCTCTGGGAAACTCTATCCGTGCATCTCTTGCGTAATAATTGGGCGCATCTCTGGTCACAGGATTACCGGCTCTCAACTCAATAGGTTTTGTGTTATGGTTCGGGTACTCGAGGAATACGTTTGCGTTCGGCTGAGACTGTGGGACACTTCGGCCGGTTATTGAATCCCTTTTAGGGTTGGGCTCGAGTCCTGTGTCACAAAATAAAACAGTTTTATTCATTTACAAAACTTTTATAGTCATTAGAAATCAAATACTTCGCGCCTCAATCGCCGGGCTTTGACAGGACTGGTATGACGTCCAGTAATCGGTGCCTCGAAGTGACTCCGAATTGCATGAATGCGGACCTAAATATAGCGGACAATAGATTTTTTAAATACATTTATTAGAAAATAAAAACGAGAATATTGTATAATCTTTTCACTGCATTTGTATCTCAAAGTCAAACCTAATTTATGAATCGCCGCAAAGTCGGCACAATCGACGACACCGTCTCCATTGCAATCTCTCTGCCATTTATTCATATATCCCTGAACTGTGCGCTCAGCACATGCCTTGTCATTAGCACAGGTCGCGTAATCACCTCCGGGTTGACCGCCGTCCGACCAATAGGCCCAACTGATTAGGTATGGCCCGCAATACGAACCTATAAACCGCACATACAATACAATACAATTGTTACATACAATTAGTTCAGTTAAATTGGTGCACGTTTTGTGTGCTAAAAGCAAAACTATTTTTTGAAACTTATTTATTTTGAGTAAAAACTTATTTATTTTACAAACCTTCGCACTGTTTGTTAAGATCGCAATCACTGCTCGCCTGAGAAAACAAAATAAAGTTTTTTAAACATTTTACTGATTTTTTTGGGATGCCTTTTGTTCATTGAGTCCCGGGTTAGCAGTACTGGAAAATATCTCTAATGTTTTACTTTGAAAAAGTCATTATATTTTATATATATATTGTATCCGCAAAGTCTTCCTCATAACGAATATAAGCATATCTTATATCACTTATTATAAAGTTATGAAAGAAAGCAATTAAATGATATGTTTTTGTGCAATATTTTTAATTGGAGTTCTAGTTATCAATATTTCCTTATTATTTGATACAAAAATATTGTTTGACTTATTATTGGCATCAAAATAATAGACAGAAGAAAGGCATTGTGTCCTTACCTGACAAATACAGTCAAAACAATTGTCACCAACGGATGCATTGTTTGGCACTTCTATCAGAGACGGCGACGGCTTATGAACGCAAATAAAAGTTTATATTTAGTATTGAGATCGCAATTCATTAAATACCGGTGGTTTTGGTTGACTGGACGGAACTCCTGGGCTATTATGGGTGTCATAAGGATTTGCAGCGCTGGGTTGAGGGCCCGTTGGTGTGGACCAACTGATGGGTTGTGTGGGAGCCCTTCCGGGAACACGGGGTGGCGATTGACCGTTGAATATATTCCAGGGATCAGTCGGTTGTGGTTGTGATTGCGGTTTAGGCGACGGTTGAGCCACTTCTCGATCGACAGCTCGCGATACTTCATCCCACGGATCTTCGGTCACGGGTTGGGACGGGTTATTATAGGGATCATTAGAATAAGGATCGGGATTTGGTTGGGCCGGTGGCTGAGGCTGATTCCATGGGTCGGGTTGTGGTTCGTTGTAATTGTCATTGTTTATGGGTTGCGGTGGGATTGGATCCCACGAATCGTCGGGTTTGGGTTGGGGTTGAGGTGTGTCGGCAACACTGGGATACGGTTGGGGTCTTAGCACAGGTCGAGGTGCGGGTGGTTTTGGTTGCGATTGCGGCCGATTCCAAGGTTCGTCGGGCTGTGGCTGAGGGTTAGTTGGATTTCCCGGAAACACTTGTATGACTCCATCATCAGAGGTCGGCTGCGGTTTATTCCAGGGGTCGTTGGGAGGGGAGGGCGGAGGCGGCGGTTGGTTGTAGGGGTCATTAGGGTATGGCTGAGGCTGTGGTTGAGATTGAGGTCGATTCCAAGAAGAGTCGGGCAAATGGGGCTGCGGTTGTGGTTTAGGTGTTTGCGGTTGAGAGGATGGCTGCCATGGCTTATCGTCGAGGGCTGGCTGTGATGGGGACGCGTCTATTGATTGAAATTTCAATAAAAATATTTTCACAATTAATTGATATTTCAATTCTCAATGCTATTTCTCGACATGAGATGATGGGAAGCAATACCACCGGAGCTGAGCTGACACTGACGGAAGACATTCCAGTACTGACTGTTGTAAAGCCATTGTTGATTGCAAGAACTCGCGCCGGCCTTTCAAACAGATTATCAATTAATGCTTTTGACATATATTTGAACAAAAAATGTTAAATCATAAAAGAAAACAACAAAATTGAAAACTTTTTTTTTTTGCTTTCTTTGGCGTTAAACAAATAAAGCAAAAGATTTTCTTTTGAATGGTTTTCGATGTTTTCATAGCATAGGAAACAGAAAAAATAACAATCATTTCTCAATGTGTGAGACCTTATGTATAGCAGCGAAGTCGAGGCAATCGACGACACCGTCGTTATTGCAATCTGTGGCCCATTTACTCATATACCCCCTGACCGTCACTTCCGCACAGTTTTTGTCATTCAAACAGTGCTCGAAATCATCGGAACGGCCGGTGTTTCCTGGCTTTCCCGCGTCCGACCAATACCTGAATCGTTGATAATATAATGTGTTTTTGGGAGAAATCATAAATCAGTTTTTTCTCATCAATTTTGGCGAAATCTCATTCAATCTTTGTTTGTCTTACGCCCACGAGATCTGATACGGACCGCAGAAGTAGGCATTGGTACCGGAATTGTGGCACTTTGTGTTCAGTTTACAACCAGAGCTGGCCTTTGATTAAAAACAATTTTCTGAATATATTTTTTGATAAAATTTTATATTTAAAACTATGATTAGGAGAGAAAGTGAGAGAACCCTTCCTTTTAGATAAGAAATGGTTTGCTTGGCTTCAAGGGTATGGAAATGAAGAGGCATTTCATATATACCTTACAAATACATTGAAGACACCGTTGCGTTACTTCTTGTGTCTTAACGTCTTTTATAAAGCAATTTATTATTAAAACTAATTTATTAATGAGTTTTTTAAAGAAACAAAATTTAACAATTAATCACATGAAAAGTTTAACCAATTTATCAAATGTTATATTCATTTACCCGACAATAGGATAATCACATCTAATGGTAATGTCTTCATCAGTAATGAAATATTAGATCGACTTTAATACTGAAAATGACTTCTTTTTCAAACAAAACTTTTTGAATAAGTATTTAAAAGAAGTTTAATATTTTACGAGACGTGCAAAACATTTAGTATTTAATTCTAATTCACAATTAATATACAAAACTTGTATTTATGTCGAGGAGAGAGAGAGAGAGAGCAGGAAAGTAGTTATTAAGTAGTTATTGTATTGATAGATGTTTTACAATTACATAATTTATATAGTTATTATAAAAGAGTAATTATTGGCATTAGTTTTTGACTCAATAAAAGCATATAATAATGCGAATGATTATCTAATTTGATAAAAATTTATCTTTCTTTTTGATGAATACATTAATTGAAAAAAAAACAAAACTTCCAAATCATAAGAAACAGTGTTTTATAAGTTTTATTGAAAAGATATCTTTAAATAACTGAATGACATCTCCTTTCATAAGAAAAAATACATATTTTCCCATTCAATTGCATATAAGAAGCGCATCATTATATCAAATATGTGTTATTAAATACACTTGTCTGACAAATGACAAATTTACTTGTCTGACATTCAAAATAGTTGTCACGAAATTGTAATAAGTATTACAAGAGAAGAAAGTAAGAGAAAAAGAAGAAAAACATTTTTCTCCGGAAATTTCCTGTTTATTTGTTTTTCCACTTATTTTTTCTGTAATTCATGTGCGAAATATGAAACAAAAGCCAAAAACATTTTTCAAAAACAATTTATGAAGTGATGGGACGGGTGTGTAATGAATGCAAATTATATCACTTGTACTGAATATTGCATCCAATGTGTTGTCATTTGTTTTCACTCGGATTCTTAGGCCTAGACTTCTCATACATTGTCTTCAATCGTATGTTTTTTGGTGAAATTGAAGATTATATTAGTTTTTCTTTTGATTTAAACATTTGATTACATGTGATAGCAATGGAGAACCGGATTTTTCAGGGTCTTTATGACTGAAATCTATTCGAGTTTCCCATCACTCTCTCTC